GTGTGTGTATGTGTGTGTGTGTGTGTGTGTGTGGGTGCATGTGTGTATGTACTCACCTAGTTGTACTCACCTAGTTGAGGTTGCGGGGTTCGAGTCCGAGCTCCTGGCCCCGCCTCTTCACTGATCGCTACTAGGTCACTCTCCCTGAGCCGTGAGCTTTATCATACCTCTGCTTAAAGCTATGTATGGATCCTGCCTCCACTACATCGCTTCCCAAACTATTCCACTTACTGACTACTCTGTGGCTGAAGAAATACTTCCTAACATCCCTGTGATTCATCTGTGTCTTCAACTTCCAACTGTGTCCCGTTGTTACTGTGTCCAATCTCTGGAACATCCTGTCTTTGTCCACCTTGTCAATTCCTCTCAGTATTTTCTATGTCGTTATCATGTCCCCCCTATCTCTCCTGTCCTCCAGTGTCGTCAGGTTGATTTCCCTTAACCTCTCCTCGTAGGACATACCTCTTAGCTCTGCGACTAGTCTTGTTGCAAACCTTTGCACTTTCTCTAGTTTCTTTACGTGCTTGGCTAGGTGTGGGTTCCAAACTGGTGCTGCATACTCCAATATGGGCCTAACGTACACGGTGTACAGGGTCCTAAACGATTCCTTATTAAGATGTCGGAATGCTGTTCTGAGGTTTGCTAGGCGCCCATATGCTGCAGCAGTTAATTGGTTAATGTGCGCTTCAGGAGATGTGCCTGGTGTTATACTCAACCCAAGATCTTTTTCCTTGAGTGAGGTTTGTAGTCTCTGGCCCCCTAGACTGTACTCCGTCTGCGGTCTTCTTTGCCCTTCCCCAATCTTCATGACTTTGCACTTGGTGGGATTGAACTCCAGGAGCCAATTGCTGGACCAGGTCTGCAGCCTGTCCAGATCCCTTTGTAGTTCTGCCTGGTCTTCGATCGAGTGAATTCTTCTCGTCAACTTCACGTCATCTGCAAACAGGGACACCTCAGAGTCTATTCCTTCCGTCATGTCGTTCACAAATACCAGAAACAGCACTGGTCCTAGGACTGACCCCTGTGGGACCCCGCTGGTCACAGGTGCCCACTCTGACACCCCCGCCACGTACCATGACTCGCTGCTGTCTTCCTGACAAGTATTCCCTGATCCATTGTAGTGCCTTCCCTGTTATCCCTGCTTGGTCCTCCAGTTTTGCACCAATCTCTTGTGTGGAACTGTGTCAAACGCCTTCCTGCAGTCCAAGAATATGCAATCCACCCACCCCTCTCTCTCTTGTCTTACTGCTGTCACCATGTCATAGAACTCCAGTAGGTTTGTGACACAGGATTTCCCGTCCCTGAAACCATGTTGGCTGCTGTTGATGAGATCATTCCTTTCTAGGTGTTCCACCACTCTTCTCCTGACAATCTTCTCCATGACTTTGCATACTATACATGTCAGTGACACTGGTCTGTAGTTTAATGCTTCATGTCTGTCTCCTTTTTTAAAGATTGGGACTACATTTGCTGTCTTCCATGCCTCAGGCAATCTCCCTGTTTCGATAGATGTATTGAATATTGTTGTTAGGGGTACACATAGCGCCTCTGCTCCCTCTCTCAGGACCCATGTTATCTGGCCCCATTGCCCTTGAGGTATCTAGCTCACTGTGTGTGTGTGTGTGTGTGTGTGTGTGTGTGTGTGTGTGTGTGTGTGTGTGTGTGTGTGTGTGTGTGTGTGTGCGTGTGTGTGTGTGTGTGTGTGTGGTGTGTGTGTGTGTGTGTGTGTGTGTGTGCGTGTGTGTGTGTGTGTGTGCGTGTGTGTGTGTGCGTGTGTGTGTGTTGTGTTTGCGTGTGTGTGTGTGTGTGTGTGTGTGTGTGTGTGTGTGTGTGTGTGTGTGTGTGTGTGAGTGAGAGAGAGAGAGAGAGAGAAAGTGTTGGGAGACTCAGGAGATGTTGAGAGAACATAGAGGAGATCACAGTAGGTGATGGTTGGGATCAGAGAAGATCCAGAGCAGCTTGTGTTGAGTTCTTCCTGCTGTACATGTTGTGAAAAAGACTTACCTTGTAAAGAGCCTCTGAGCAATAATTGTGTGTGTCCCACCGAGGCAGAGTGACCCAAAAAAGAAACATTTTCACCATAATTTACACTATCACTGTCTTGCCAGAGGCAAGCAGATACGACAGTTTATATATCCCTCTAGACAGAATATATCCCAAACCCCGACTTTAGAGTGCAGGCAAGACAGCGATAGAGTATATACATACACCTATATCACTGCAACATTCACAACCCATGCTTCACACCCATATAACAGTATTGGTACATCTATACTAAGTACATTCCCCCTTTTGCCTTTATGAATACGGTTTGTTTGTCTCCACAAACGCCTCACTGTACCACCCATCTTTTTCCCCTCGCCAGTTCAACGGTTAACTTCATCTCCCGACAAGTCCACTCTCAAATATCTAAACACATTTACTTTCTCCATACTCCTTCCCTCCAATCTGATGTCCAGTTTTTTTGTATCCTATTTTTTCCTTGCTCTCATCACCTTGTTCTTTCCAATGGTAACTTTCAATTTCCTTATTTTACGTACCATTTCAAAAGCGTCTACCAGCGTATGCAACTTCTCTTCAGAATCTTTCAAAAGCACAGTGTCGTCGACTACAAGCAACTGTGACAGTTTCAATCCCATACCTCCCCCTAACACACTAGCGTTCACTTCTGTTACTACTTCATCCATAAATATGTTAAACAACCATGGTGACATCACACATCCCTATCTAAGGCCTACTTTCACTGGAAAACAATCTCCCTCTCTCCTTCATACCCTAACCTGAGCCTCACTATCCACATAAAACCTCTTTACTGTTCTAAGTAACCTTCCACCAATTACATACATATGCAACATTTGTCACATTGCCCCCGTATCCACTCTAGCATATGCCTTTTCTAAATTCATAAATGCAACAAAACATTTCATACTTTTATCTATGAATTGTTCACTTATATCCTTTATTGTAATCACTTGGTTTACACATCCTTTCTAAAATCTCCTTGCTTCTCTGTAATCTTACTTTCTGTCATACTCATAATTCTCTCAATAATAACTCAACGATAAACTTTTCTCGGTATACTCACCAGTCTTATTCCCCTATAATTTTTATACGTTTTTTTTATCCCCTTTTCCCCTGATGCATAGGAACTATGCACTCTACGAATCCTTAGGTACTGCACCCCCATTCAATGAATATATTGAACAAATTCATTAATCACTCTCACACTATTTCCCCATCTGCTCTTATCATTTCTGTCTCCATATTATGTATTACAGCTGCTTTACCCCTTTTCATTCTACCCACTGCCTCATGCATTTCTCCTACACTCACATCTGGTTCTTCTTCACTCCTACAGGATGTTATACCTCCCTGTCCAATGCGTGAAATCACTGTTTCCCTCTCTTCATCAACATTAACAACTCCTCAAAATATCCTCTTCATCTTCCCAGCACCTCCACTTTCTCATCTAATGACTCACCTCTTTTTTTTTTAATGATTAATTCTATTTGTTCCTAAATTTTCTCAACTTAATGTTTTTCACTTTTTCTTATTCTTGTCAAAATTGCTGCTAAAGCCTCACCCACTGCTTCGTTGGTTCTCCTTCACTCCCTCACCATTCTTTTAACCACTCCATTACTCTCCATGTACTTCTCCCTCCTTATATCCCTTCTACGTCACAAAACACCTTACATGCTAACTTTTTCTCCCTTGCCACCCTCTTTACATCATCATTCCATCTAGCAGTCTTAGTCCCTCTCGCTTCCACCCTCAAACCTCTGCTGTATACACTAACACAGAATTCTTAAATCAACCCCATACCTCCTCTACCCCTCATCATTACCTGTACTCTCTCTAGCCCTTCTTTCTCCCAATACTTGCTTACATTTTACTCTTACTATCTCTTCCTTTAATTCAATAACTTACACTTCTCTCTTACCCACTTATGACATTCTCCTTGTACTCCATCTTCCACTTACTATCACTGTAGCTACCACTAAATAATGGGTTAATATATCTTATTTATTGCCTCTCTAAAAACATTCACATGCACAAGTTTACCTATCAACCTCTCATTACGCCCTTTATCGTATCTCCTCCGCTTATTTATCCTTTTTTCTTATAATACATATAATATATTACCAAACCTCTTTTTACACATAGTTTAATTCGAGGCCCCCTTATTATTTACCTCTGGCACTCCAAATTTATCTACTTCGCCCTCTATAGCTTTCTCCCTTTATGTATATATATATATATATATATATATTATATATATATATATATATATATATATATATATATATATATGAATGGGTGTGTGTATGTGTATACATTTTAATCGATGCTCAATTCTGAATGTTGAATTTGATGTAATAATTAGCGGGAACAATTCAATAATGGAAACTTCACTAAGATAACATTAATTGGAACAATCTATCAGGTCAAGAATGAAATCATACCACTTAGAATGAATGAGAATGATATAGCAATTAGTATGACTGAGAATGACATAGTAATCTGATCATTACGGCTGCAACACGGTACCATAATATATTGTCTGTATGTTGGACATCAAGCTAATACATTCCTGCCAAGTGTTTGACACATTATACATCACAAACTGTATCACTATAGGAATTTATAGAAATATTGATTACGTTATTATATATTGTTTCGTATTTTACAGGTGGAGGCGCTAGTGAGAGTGATGTAGGAACTACAGTATTGAACACACGTTGTATTCTACAGATGGAGGCACTAGTGAGAGTGATGTAGGAACTACAGTATTGAACACACGTTGTATTCTACAGATGGAGGCGCTAGTGAGAGTTATGTAGGAACTACAGTATTGAACACACGTTGTATTCTACAGATGGAGGCGCTAGTGAGGGAGTTGTAGGAACTACAGTATTGAACACACGTTGTATTCTACAGATGGAGGCGCTAGTGAGAGTGATGTAGGAACTACAGTATTGAACACACGTTGTATTCTACAGATGGAGGCGCTAGTGAGGGAGATGCAGGATCCAGAGACTGGTGTGCCAATAAGAAGCCAAAAACTCTTCCTTACCTCTATACCATCTGCCTTCATGG